TATGTTTACAAAATCTTGTGTCTTATAGGTGTTTAACAAAATCCCTATGATTGATTAAGTATGTTATTTGAATGAAAAAGATATAACATGCTTTGTGAAGATTTTAGAAAGTAATTATAAGCTTTATGATATAAATTACATTGAGAAATTGGAAATGTTGATAGACATTGAAATTGTTCAAAATGTGATCATGACATGTTGAACATGATATTGTAATTGCAATTAAAAACTTGATTGTATAGTGATATGAAATGCAATTGTTCATTACATTTGCATATAAACAGGTAGCATCATAGTCATGGGCATTTGACATGGTGTGGTTGTGTGTGCATGTTTTTGATCAAACACCATCATTGGTGGGTTGATAAATGGGTTCGAAAAAGTTGGACCTAGGTTCAACTGAGTCGCATGGATTGCATTGAAAACAAGGGTCAGGGTTAGCAAGAAGGGCTAGATTCTTCCTCGGGTGCAAGATCTGAAAAATTTGGAGACGCACTCTATTGGTATTGAGTCCATAAAATATGCTGGCATACGCGGAGTTGTTGGTGGAAGTCCATAGATGTCGTGACGGTTGGGTACCCGTTGGTGAAAGTGCATAAATACTCAACCCAAGAAAGACCTGAGATTTTATAAATTAGTTATTGGATGCTCAACATTAATGGTGGAGTCTTGAACTGTTTGGATGCATACATATGATATTACATGTGTTATGGGAGCCCGTGGAGGGCTCGGGATGTATATTGCATGTGTGAGTATCACCTTATAACATGGTATGACATTTTGGAAATTCATTTATGCATTGCATATTCTTGAATGAATATTTGATTGATTGTTGAATTACATGTGAACATTTTATATACATTTAGGTTGGAGAGTAGCCTCTTTAAGAAATACCCTATTAAGTGTTCAGAGGCGGGACAAACACTGGTGGACAGCCCTCACATGGGCCCTTATTGAGAAAAAGCCAGGCTGTGGCTTTTAGATTACATTTTGTGAAAACAATGGTATAATTTGTTTTGAACTTATAAAATTGTGTTAGGAGTTTTGTAATGAACAATGGTAATGAGTGTGGATGGTTAAAGGTTAGAGATTCAAAAGATTTAAGGAAAATATGGGCCTAGATATCGGTATCTAAGTGATTAAGTACCAGTATTACGTTGTTGGATGAGTCAGGTACTAGTACCTTGACTTATGAGTACCAGTACCTAGGTTTCAGTGGACTCAGGTACTAGTATCTAGACACCACGTACTGGTACCTTGATGGACAGAGGACTCAGGTACCGATACCTAGGTGATTAAGTACTGGTACCTAGCAATTGGAAAGATCTGGCAGACAAAAGGCTTAGGTACCAGTACCACGTGTATGAGGTACCTATACTTCTTCCAAAATTTTTAAAAATTTAATTATAACTCTACCAAGCCTTCAAATCCTGAGTCCTCTTGTCGAGATGATGTAATTGGTCAAACATTAAGTTCTAATTGATGGGGATGGACATTAGAATGGTTAAGTGGTTGATATATACATAGGTTAACTGTTTGAGAGTGCTCTAGTACAAGGGAGACTCTGTCTAAACTCTGTATAGGTTACGATCCTGGTGAAAGGGATGTAATGACGTGTTGTCGGGTTATGCGACATTTACGGGTACTTTTGCGGATTGATGGGTGATCAATTTGTTGAGAAAAGATCCCCAGATTTTGGGTCATCATAAGGATTGTCTCTACTTTCTGTATTCCCCTCCACACGAGGACTCAACTCGCCTGACTCTGTTGACATCCTCAACATTTATGTATTTCTGGACTTTTGATAGTAATTCTAGCATGTTATTTGGAGGGGCCTTCAAAACTAAAAACATAAGACTAAATGAGTGTTGGCCTTTTGTGAAGGCTGTCATGCCGACTTTGTGATATGGTTCTTCAATCTGGAGGGCTTCCTTGTTAAAATGAGTGAGGTAACTCTTTAGGCTTTCATCCGGGTCCTACTTGATGCTGAACAAGTAGGTTGTAGGCTTCTGATATCGGCGTCCCCCAATGAAGTGTGAGATAAATGACTTGCTTAATTTAGTGAAATAGTCAATGAAAGTCAGGGTAAGCTTGGTGAACCACTGACGAGTAGATCTATTAAGGGTGGTAGGGAAAGCCTTGCACATGATCTTGTCTGGTACATTGTACATCTTCATCAGGGGGATTTGTAGGTGTCAAGGTGGTCCAGTAGATCTTTGGAGCCATCAAAACCTTTCACAGTTGCTTGAACCTTGAGGGAAAAGGGTAGTTGGCCACATCAACTAAAAAGGGCGTGTCAGTATGCCTCACAAGGTACCCAACCGTTTTAGGCCTTTGCGTCTTCATGACATTGAAGACGTCACCGAGTTAGTTTTGCACTTCTTTGATTTTTTGTCCCAGTGGTTAGGGATGCCTTCCAAATGGTTGTTTTAGTGGTTCTCGTGGTCAGCATACTGGTTTTCCCTTTCATCTTCTTGGAAAAAAAGATCACCAGCATGAGAAGACGGAGCCGACATGCGTGGAAGGGAAGCCTGTGCGCCTTGGCGCTGAGGAGGGGTGCCTTAATGCTAGAGGGATCTTTGACGCCCTGGGCTAGGTTCCCGGAGTGCTTCCTTTCTTGGGTGTTGGAGGATCTGCTCGTTTTTATTCACCAGTAGCTACCTAGTCTCCAAAAACTTTTGCTGTGGTTTAGAGACGGAATTTGCTAGCTAAAGCAGGACCTCTTCCTAGCATTGTTGATAATCCTTTGTTTGTTGATTCATGGGTCTAATCATAATAGCCATAAACACACAAAAACAGTTAGGTGAAAACTAAGTTGTTCCCATAGACGGCGTCAAATTGATGATGTACAAAATGTGTGTTATGCACCACCTATCAAGTATTTAATGCAGTAATTAAGAAGGAAACTCAACACAAGTAAAAAAAAATTAAGTGGTTTAGTTAGGGTGACCTACTTTACTATGAAAGGCTACGGTGGCCTGAGTGTTTTATTACTCTAGGAGTGTAAAGTACATAGATGTGAGTGATACTCCCTTGTGAAGGTGAAACTTATAATTTATAAACACTTTCTAACAGATTGAGACGCAATTCTTGTACCTAGTGAGGTAGTTTGGTAGATGTGACACAATTCTCGTAATAGGCGACATAGTTCTATGGAGATAGCGATGTGCATCCGATGATTGGATTTCACAGAGATCTCATCGTATATCAGTTGTGGACTAAATCTTTCAAGTTGACAATCCTAACTCAATTGAACTTTCTTGATCCTATAAGGACCTGTTTGGTATGTGGGATAATTGGGAATTTGGAAGATAGGTTGGGAATAAAAAATCCATAAAACTCATCAAATCCATGTTTGACAACTACATTTTTAGCTCAGGTTATCAAACACAACCCGCTTTAGGCCCACAATTTAAGCCCATGTTCATGAAACCCGGTGGAGGGGAGTGAGTTTCATATGGGGCTTAAAGGGTTGAACATATAAAATGACATTTGTACCCCCATACAACCCATATACCCAAAATAATCAAATAATTAAATATTAATCAAATAATCAAATTTTTATACCCCAAATATTAAAATATTAAAATAATCAAATAATCAAATATTTATACCCCAAATAATCAAATATTAAAATCATAAGAACACAAGAAAATGTACGTATACAAATATGAGTTTGGATTAGATTGGTTAAAGGGCACAATAGTCATTTATATATAAATATATTATCATAATAGTGATATATTTGTGCGCATACCAAACATGGGGATGAACATGATTGAATGTTGAATTTTATCTTTATAAAGAGGGGAAAATTGGAAGATGGTACATCAAATTAGACTTAATTGTAAAAAAGTAAACAGAAAAAAATGTTGGGTAATTAAGTCCTTAATTTTGATACTTATTTGTATCTAAGTACATTATTTGAATTTTACTGATTTTTTTGTGACATTTTTGTCATCTATTGATCTATGTGTATTTTATTTGGAAAGTAGTACATTAAACATCTTCTTCTTTTATGGGAGAACTTTACTATTCCATATTTGTTTGTCATCCCTTGATTCATGTGAATTTTTTTTGAAAAGTGATTTTATTTTTAAATTATATTAAATGCATCTTGATTTATACGCTATATATATATATATACACTTGTTGTTAAATTTTTTATCTAAATTTTGAATTATCATTAATGCACATTGATTCATGCGTATTTTTTCTTGGAAAATGATTTTGTTTTCAAATTATATTTAATGCACCTTGATTCATGTGTTTATTTTTTTGGAAAATGGTTTTATTTTTAAATTAATTCAATATCCGAATAGTCAGTGTAATAATAATAGTGTAACAAACTATACTATTATATTTTGTCAAACATATAATTTCATATAATTTTATTCAAAATAGTCTATCTCCGTTTTGAATTTGTTACCATATGCACAAAACTATTGAATACTGTTTTTGTTACAGTGTATTTGTTACACTATTATGAAGTTCAGATATTAATAAATTTTAAAATTTAAACAAGTGATATATTCTAAAATAAAAGAAATATTAAAATTATCCTATAAAACTAGTAGTAGTAAATATTTAATGCATAAATATAATTTAAAAATAAAACCACTTTAAAAAAAAAACGCATGAATAAAGGTTCATTAAAGATAAAACCACTTTTAATGCATATATACGTATTTATATGTATTAACAAATACATATGAATCAAAATTCATTAAAGATGAAAGATTTTGAATTTAATGATCCTAAACTGGACATTTATGTCTTTATATCTTAACTGTGTACTTTTTTTCAAATTATTTTGTTTTATATATTTTTTGTTAAATAAGTTTAATTAGTTGTACCGACTTCTAAAAAACCTAAGAAAATTAAATTTAAAACAATTTGGACAAACTAATCCACGCCCAAAATCAACCAAACAGGCCGTAATCGGTTAGACTAGTATATTTAAGCTAGACCTTATCAACATTTGTGATCTGAACGGGCCGGGACAGTCGGTTATTATTTTGTTTACAAAACATTTCCGAAACGAATTGATCCTTGATCAAAAGTTAACTCTGTTCAATCTACGTCTCTCTTCTTCCCCGTCGCCGTCTCATTCTGCAACAGATTTCTCAACTGAGCCAAGATTCCGCTAAAATGCGCCATGCCTGACCAAAGCCATTGCAATTCCGGCACTGATTTGGAGTAACAAAATACTTGTCATTGACCGACCATGGCGAATTGGATCTCTGCCAAGCTCAAAGCCGCCGAAACCATTCTCCAACAGGCAATTCCTTCTATCTCCCTCTCAATTATAGCTCCGTTTGTTTCCCAAAATAACAACTGTAAGAAACTAAAGCAGAAGAATTTCATTTTCCGACAACCAGATAAAGCATATCAATTGTATTTCCATTGATTATAGAGTTGTTTATTTATGTGAGTAAATTGACTATTTGGTGATTTTAATTTTGACGGTTCAGATCGATCAGCAAGCGGCGGAATCACTCCGTAAGAACGAAAAGGCACGATCTGATGATTTAAATTTGGAAACCCCAACGAAATCCAGTGAAACAGTGCCATTAAAGGACCAGCTGAAGAAGAAGACTCTGGAAAATAATGATTTAATTGGGAAATTACGGAGTGATCAAAATAATTTTAATAATGATCGAGATGGAGATAAGGAGGTTGAAAAGTCTGTGAATTTGAACCCCAAGTCTAGTAATAGTCTTACTGATGGTGATTGGACTGAGTTACTTGGTGCACCGAATAAAAACACGAATTTGGGGGTGAATTCAAGAAATGGGGTGGCAGGCATTCGGGGTATCAAGAGGGAAGCTAGGAGGGAGGGGAGTTTGGGGTTGAAATTGTCGGCATTGGAGGGGAGGAGGAGTCAGAAGGGGCAAACGAGTGTCGTGAAGGGTTTGAAGAAATTAGATGTTCGGTTAGAAGGTAAAGTGAATGGTGGTGAGTTAAATGGGAGGGGAAGTGATGGGGGAGATTCAAGAGTTTCGGTTTCTAGTGTTGAGTTGTGGAGTGATGGTGAAAGTTTGGATAAAAGAGAATTCAGTTGGAAGGATGGTAGTGGGAGTGTTGTGGTGGAGCATCATAGTGCGGCGATCAAAGAAAGAAATGGTTTGCTGGATGCCCCTGGGGATGGAGAGGGAGTACATTCCAATGAGAATTCAGTTGATGGGGTTTCACTTTCGACAGATAGGAATCATCCCGCGGTGACAATGGCAGCTGCTGTTGATGGGATGGCTGATTTGAAGCTCGGGATGAACAATGATGGCAACCAGTTGAGAACTGCTGTAGTGGGGGTTGATGAGCCCAATTTGGATTTACGGAATTCTGGTTCAGAGAAGAAGGGTTCTTCTTTGGCAAATGAGAGTGAATCTGATTCGGATACAGATACAGCTTCGACATCAGATTCAGAGAGTGATCACGAGAGAGAGGAGATGAAAAGGAGGAGGCAGCAGATTCTGGCTGCAAAAGCAGCTGCTAAGGCCCTTGCAGCCATCAAAGAGCGGGAGAATATGGTTGCTAGATTGGAGGGGGAGAAACAAAGCTTAGAGAAAATAATCGAAGAGCGAGCTAAACAACAAGCACAAGAGGTAACTACTTTACAGTCCTTTGTAATCCTTATTATTATTAAGTTGTGGTTACTATTTTGTGCATTATAAGTATTTTACTGGAATCATGTCTTGTTTGCTATGAGTGGAACATCACTTTGCTCTTTGGGTTTATTGTCAAAGCCACCATCGACTGTGCCAACATCTGAGGGAAATAAGAAAAGAGAAAAAGAAAAATAGATGACTTCTTTCCCACATCATTTGGATAGTTTCTAATCCATGGTTGCATAATCTCAATAGCTAATACGCTAATATAAGATGTCAAAGGATTCATCTCTATTTCAATTGCCAAAACTCTTTTCAAGTTAAGTACCAACTCCCTTGGTAGTAGTGTCTTGATTTGAAATTCAACTGTCTCTGACAGTTTATATGCCTTTAAAGGGAGAATAAAGGACAAAAAGAGAAGGGAAGAGAAGTTTATTTTCTAAACAACGGTCATCTTGGACAAGTTGAAATCTCGGAATTTTAAACAGAAGATAATAAACAACTCATTCTGATTCTTAATAACGTATCATTCTCATTCTAGTTTACAATTCCCATGTGTTCTTATGCCAGTAGTTTACAATTCTCATGTGTTCCTATGCCAGTAGTTTACAATTCTCATGTGTTCCTATGCCAGTAGTTTACAATTCTCATGTGTTCCTATGCCAGTAGTTTACAATTCTCATGTGTTCCTATGCCAGTAGTTTACAATTCTCATGTGTTCCTATGCCAGTAGTTTACAATTCTCATGTGTTCCTATGCCAGTAGTTTACAATTCTCATGTGTTCCTATGCCAGTAGTTTACAATTCTCATGTGTTCCTATGCCAGTAGTTTACAATTCTCATGTGTTCCTATGCCAGTAGTTTACAATTCTCATGTGTTCCTATGCCAGTAGTTTACAATTCTCATGTGTTCCTATGCCAGTAGTTTACAATTCTCATGTGTTCCTATGCCAGTAGTTTACAATTCTCATGTGTTCCTATGCCAGTAGTTTACAATTCTCATGTGTTCCTATGCCAGTAGTTTACAATTCTCATGTGTTCCTATGCCAGTAGTTTACAATTCTCATGTGTTCCTATGCCAGTAGTTTACAATTCTCATGTGTTCCTATGCCAGTAGTTTACAATTCTCATGTGTTCCTATGCCAGTAGTTTACAATTCTCATGTGTTCTTACGCCAGTAATTCAGGAGTTGGGTTGCCAAAATTGATAATCAACGTCAATTATACTTTTCCAATCTGTCCAAAGAAGATATGTTTCGATCTTTGTTGCAATTGTAATATGATAAGGCTGGAACAATTACATGGCAGTTGATAGATCCTAGAATCAACTTTGACATCATTATCATCAAATTTTTTCTCTCGAGATTCTGCTTGACATCAGCATTTTGATGAATTGTCAAATCTGAAAGTAAATAAGGAATAGTGTAAGACAAATCTAAGAGTAAATAAGGAATAGTTTAAAATTTGCCAGAATGTAAGCATCACTCGTTCATAACTTTGGTAAATAAACAAAATATCAGGGTGCCTCTCTTTCCCTATTTTGGCTGATTTTTGAGTTTGTTGTTTCATTTGTAATAGTATAATCTAATTCAATCCAACAGAAAGGCCTTTGGAAAATCCTACCTTGTCGTAATAGTTTTCCAAATTTTAGAAAGAGTCTGATTTCTACAACACTCATTTTATTATCACATAATTTGGCAAATTATCTTTTGCTTTACTTCCCCGACCCCTAGAGCATAGACCTGGCTTTGCCACTTACTGGTTTGATTTTGACCTTTTTTTCAACTGGCTTGGTAATTCCCGTGGTTCTAGCACAGTATAATAGGAATTTATGTATGAGATTGATATGTTTGAGGCTGGGCCTTGTCGCAATAGTAATGTTGCTCCATTGAGGTCACAGGTTGGAGTTGCAGAAATAGCATCTCCTCATAAAGGGGTAAGGCTGCATACATTTAAACCTCCCCAAACCTTGCAATGGTAAGAGTCTTGTACATTGGGTACTCCTTTTTTAATGGCATGTTTGTTTAGTGTCTTGTAGTTTTCCCCAGATAAGAAAAATTTAAAAGTTTTGGCTTCTTATAAATTGCAGTCATGGTAGGAGTCTCATGCACAGGGTACTCTTTATTTACTGGCATGTGTGTTTAGTGTCCTGTAGTTTCCCCCAGAAAAGAAAAATTTAAAAGTTGGGGTGTGACGTCCCTAAAACCGGGGGTCTCGTTAACAAACCCGTCAACCCGCGGAAATGCCCGTGAGTGCCTCTTGATCCGACATCATGCTAATATTATTTCATTACTCGAAATTTTAACTCACACGTATTACCCGTGTTCTTTTAATCATTTAATTTAACCGTGACTCAAGGTACCATAATTCATGCCTCTCTATTGTCCAATTTCATCTTTGGAACCAAAGGAATCAAAGACCAAGAGCTTATCGCTTTAGTTTTAAAGTTTCAAAATTTTGTAGAGAGTACTGGTACTGTTTACTCACTGGTTCTGGCAGTACCGGTACCGTCTGGACTGTACCGGTACTGTGTACCGGTGCTGTCTGCTTGCTGGACCAGACTGTTCCGGTAATCTCTGCCCAGTTTAGCCAATTTCCACTGTTTTTTCCTTTCAAAACCATTTTAAATCATCCCAACACCATCTAAAACATGTCTAACAATGTTTATCACATAAAACTTGATATCTATAAGTTCTATTACATATTTACACATCAAAATGGAATTTTCATAAAAACTTTACAAAATGAACTATAAAAGCCACAAATCGACTTTCTTCATCCTTGAGGCTCGAAATGGGAGCCGTCCGACGGTATGAACCCCGTACCTGAAATGTTTTCCCACGAAGGGTGAGTTATGCCCAATAGAGTATCTCCTAGATAGGCTACTCGTCAACCTAAATGCATATAAAATGTTCACATGCTAACAATCCACAATTTCATAACATTCCAAGCAAGAACATGCCTCCAATGTTGGAATTTAAGATGTCATGCCATAGAATGAGATCAGACTCACTCATGCACATCAACCCGCCCATCCTGACTCCTCAACATATGCAAGTGCTAATGTGCGTGAATTTGTCGTTTATGTTGCACATCAAATGACATTCGCTAATCTAGGGTCTTTGTAGGGATGGATGTTTATGGACTCACACCAAGGGTCACCCAACCCACACGAAATTCACGGACTTCCACTGAGGGTTCTGCGTACACCCACACACTTCATGGACTGAACCAAGGGAGTGCATATCCCATCACCGGACCTTGCACCCGAGGAATCTTCTAGCCCTTCTTGTTAACCCTAACCCTAATCATCATGTAATCCTTGAGACTCAGCCAGGTCTTCGACCATGTTTACTTGAGCCCACCAGTCATCCACCAAGCGTGGTATTGACAAACAACTATGCACACACACGTCCATATAGTGAGATGTCCCTGTGCATATGCATTGTGATGCCTCATTTCAACAACAATATGATGCTCAGTATGCTATGGATGACATATAAACAATCTCAATACATACCATGGATAATTATATTTGAGCACATAATTTCCATACCCATCAATGCCAACATATCACAAGCATGTATATATATATATATCGACATTTCTAATAACAAAATTTTCAAGCATGTTACCACATAATCATGCTATCATCACTCTAATTTCATCAAGCCATAAGGTAAACACATAGCATGCCCACAAAACACATTTCTCAAAGAATTATATTGGCAATTTCTAAATACCAAAAGTCAAGATAGAATTTATTCTACCCATTTCCAACACCCATTTAACCAAACCACCAATAATAGGCAAGTGATATTTAAATCTATCAACCTACCCATTTCATCTAAACATCCTAGGTTTGGAATACACCTAAGTAGGAGGGAACCCTACCTCTCGAAACGTGGAGAACACCCGTAGGAGGTTCCAAGAATCCGCTTTTAGCCCAAATTCCAAAAATCCTGTATCTTGATTTTCAGTAAAACTCACATTTTTTTTGGTATGGTTGTGTAGCCCTTGGTGAGGAGAGCAATTTATGTTCTTGCCCCGAGTGGATTCGCCCAAAGTTTGACCCTTGATCGCAAGAGAAAAGCTTGAGAAATCCCTTGTTTTCTCTCTTCTTCTCCCTCTCTTTTCCAACGTCTAGACCAGCAGAGAAAGTGGATGGAGAATCAGATTTTTCCCATCTATTTATATTCCTTATTTCCTTGGTCCATAACGCGCCACACGGCCCCCTATTTTTGGGTCCGTTTTAGCCCCGAAACGATTAAATTTCGTCCCCGATTTAAGTTTAAAATATTTACTTTAACTTGTGGAGAACACCTGTAGGAGGTTCCAAGCACCTGCTTTTAGCCCAAATTTCAAACTTCCAAAAATCCCGTACCTTGATCTTCGGTAAAACTCACATTTTTTTTTTTGTATAGTTGCGTAGCCCTTGACAAGGAGAGCAATTTTTGTTCTTGCCCCGAGTGGATTCGCCCAACGCTTGACCCTTGCTCGCAAGAGAAAAGTTTGAGAAAACTCGTTTTCTCTCTTCTTCTCCCTCTCTTTTCCAACGTCCAGACCAGCAGAGAAAGTGGGTGGAGAATCAGATTTTTTCCACCAATTTATATTCCTTATTTCCTTGGTCCACAACGCACCACACGGCCCCCTATTTCCGGGTCCGTTTTAGCCCCGAAACGATTAAATTTCGTCTCCGGTTTAAGTTTAAAATATTTTTACTTTAACTTGTCTCAAATTATTTTCCAACTTTCGAAATTTTTATCAAAATCCCGTTTTTTTTGGGTCACCCGAGACTCGACTGTCTCGTAAAATACAAAAAATCTAACTATATCGGAATTCAATAAAATTTGACGTGGTAATTAAATTTTGCGAGATGAATCCAACGGTGAGATCCGTTTCGTCATCCGAGATCTAGAAAAATTCTGGTTTGTAACCCGCACCGTAGTGGCAAATTACCATTTTTCCCCTTTGTACAAAAAGTTCAAATTTATTCGGTTTTTACATGGGGCTTCTTATAAATTGCAGTCATGGTAATATCAATGAATGGTATTTTCTGGAAAAAACATGAGTAGCTAGAGAAGCTTGGTGTAGTCGTATCTGGCATTGTTGGTTTATGGTATATTCCTTTATCTACTTCCTAACGAAGGCATTCCTATGTTTTTTCTCTCCATCTCCAATGATAGTACTTATACTGTCAAATTACCTTAATGTAAGGCCAATTCGATTTCTTTTTTTGTACGTATATTCATTGCCTTGGTGTCAGGCTTCTGAACTGCAGACGACAATGATGGAAATTATGGATGCTGTTGATATTGAAAAGCAGAAACATAATACTACTCGGATGGAAGCTCTTTCACGGTTGGCTAAACTTGAGGTATTGCAACTACATTCAAAATCTGCTTTAACTTTCTGGCAGATTGATACTATTTTTCGCCTGCAGGGCAGGATTTTTTTTTTTTTTTTGGGGGGGGGGGCATGGCTCTGGTTACTAGTTTCTGGAAGTTGGAGTAATGTGGATTTGCATCACTTCTGTTATTTTGCAGACTGCAAATGCTGATCTTGCAAGATCCCTTGCTAGTGCACAATGGAATCTTGAAGTAGAGGTATACCAGATCTGGTTCTATTATTTCTACTATTCTTTTCAATTCTAGTATCTGTGGGAGATAAAATCATCCTGTAGGTTGCTCTCCCTGTACCCTTTTTTTTTTTTTTATCTCAAATAGCCATCAACTGTTCTCATTTTTTCAGACCGTGGAATGATTCATAAGTGATTAGAGGGATGTAAACTGGCAATTCCAATAGTGACTCTTATTTTTTCTTCTCCTGGTTAAGAAAAATGGCCTTCACTAACTTCCAGCTTGTACAAGTGTATTCATGCTCATGGGATTGAGTATTAAGCTTATGTAGAGCAAGGACTTCCTTAGTAATTGATCTTGTCTTTTGTTGATGCATATGTAACTGTATTTTGCATATCCAGCAGGTATTAGTAGGACAGCAAAATTATTTGTTTAATAACATGATGTTGTTACTATTTTTAGAATTAGGGGCCATTGTATGTCGCAGTGGCATAAGTTTTGAGCTAACAACTGGCATGTTGAGTTTGAATATGAGAACAGTCACTTCTGACATGTAATGCCAAAGATTGGGTCTATACTTCATCCATCCCTCCAGCACCTTGAGTTATGGGGACTGAACTGGATTGGACCCTTTGTTATTGATTGTTTAGACTGCATAAAGGTTGAGGACTTGTGAATTTTAGAAACAGATTTAGGTGATGGCGGACATCTTGCTGTGACATTAACAAGGACATCAATCAATTTCTCTCAACTTTTGTGTTTTTATGGGCCAGGTTAATCTTGTAGCAAAACTTCGTCAACAAGTTGAGCAAAAAGAAGCGAGCCATGAAGGTATGCTCTTTGGATCCTAGCCACCTTTTGGTGGTCTGTGGTCCAATGAACAATCGATGTTTAAAGCATAATTATGGGCTGGGGAAGTAAAGAACTGAAACATAATGAGAATGTTAGTGATTTTTTTTTTTTGGACAGACATATCAATAGTCAAATTATTATAGAGGAATAGCTACTGCATGTTTTGGAATAAGGACATCATATCTTGCTCGTGTTCATTTTCCTTTGGCCTTAGATGTATTTCCATTTTTTGAGACTATGATGTGTTCATACATTATTCATTTTGAGTGGCAAATTATATTTATCTCATAATGAAGGTTATATCAAAGGAGGATAAGGTGACAAATCATATCAATGAGTCAGAGGCATCTAATTGTGGTTCTTCAGCTCAATGTATTGTTCCGAGAGGGAAATCAGATATGAATCTTTCCTCACAATTATACACGTGGAGATCAAAACACTTAACCTAGAGAGGAAGGTGAATAAAATTTTCAATTTTAGCTCAAATTGATTACAAATTAAAACATATGTCTGCCACAATTACCTTTTCTCACAAATATGAAGCAATGAATGTGAGAACTCCTTTAATCACCATCAACCCTTTGAACCACGACGATTGATTTTAATTAATTCGCTCAAGTTAATCTCAGGGCGATCCTCACAAACACAATTGCACAACTATGGATGATATGATATCAAACAATCAAAACATCAAACACATAGTGCGCGTATGTGCTAATAAATGTAAGTGTGTACAATAATCAATAAGAGATACAAGCAATTTGTTGATTCGTAAAACCTTCCTTAAGAAAAACCGCGGGAAACCACTTGAGGTTCACCAAAGCCTAATGCACTACTGGCCAAATTTAACATACAAGTACTCGAGTTTTATACCTCAATCATCACAATGGTTATATGCTCTTTTCCTTGTTATGTCTCTTTGTCGAAATTCCCACTCTGACGTCTAGTGTAGTTTCACTTGTACCTCTTCCCTGCATGGTTCGTCTAGATCTCGAGAGATTATGGGTACACCAACAATCCTTGATATGCACACACCAATGAGTTTATTCACCAACAAGTTCTTCTCCAAGTTGTGAGGATGAAAAAATCACTAGTGGTAACCTTTGGATCTTAGGGATCTAGGTTGTGATGGAAGCTCTCAATGTTTAAAGATAGATTTCTGTCTTCAAAATCTCTTATGAGACTTTTTCAAGGCTTGACCTAAATGTGGGAAAAGTTCTCCCTATTTATAGGTCCGGAATAAGGGTAGTGTTAATAAATAAAAAAACTTAGACTCGCGAACGATCGCTCGATTGGTGGGAGGGCGATTGAGACTAGAATGAAACACGTCTCAAATCAGCCAAGGACCAGGATCGTTCAAGCGACCATGGGACCACTCGAGTGAGCTCATAGAGTGAGCCATGTATTGATCCCTTGTGGCCTTTTCCTTTTTATCCTAAGTCATCAAGGTGACTGCTCTAGTGAAGGCTAGCGAGTATAGGGCGGTTACTACAGGGTTTTTAAGCCTAAAACTATGCAAAAACTTGTCCTCTTGACCACTAAAAGGTGTTGCTCAAAGAGGGGTCCAATTGTGACTTAAACTATATTTTCAAAATGCAAAAATGGTTTAGAAAATTTTTTCATTGAAAATCACGTAGGAGTCATAATCGGATCGCTTCTAATTCCATTTTTATCTTGATTATCCTAAGTTAAAATAACTAAGTGTTTATCTTAGGTGTTTAGGTCATTACCTTTGTTCTAAGCGTGAAGATGCATACGAAGGTTGAATGATGTAGCTTTGACGTTTGGTCTCCTTCCTACAGTAACGCTTTCGAATCTTGAACTTAATAGCATTATCACTATGGAAATGGTTGAGATTTTAAAATAGATTCCACGAAATTAGCTAATTACAAAATATGATCTAACAATCTCTCTTTTTGACAATTTCGTGATAAAACTCACAAGTTTGAAATAAATATTACAACCAAGGATCAAAAATATCATTTCGAAACAGTCGAAATATTCGAAACGTCTCTGTTTCCAAGGAGACTGACGCGAATCGGTGATGGAATCGAAATTCTAATACTTTAAGTTGTTCCATAAGATTTTGAAATATTTTGTTATATTTCAGTGTATTTGCACAATTATTTCGGAATATTTCAAAGTATGTTAAGATATTTTTGTATATTTCAATTAATGTTTTAAAAAAATAATTCTTAAATTTTTTTTTTATTTTGTTTTCGAAAACGGGTCGAAACGTTTTTTCCTAGGTGACTGAAACAATGCACTGAAGCAAAATTTTGATCCTTGATTATAACCCAAAACTATTGAACGAAAGAATTGTAAATCAAATTTCAACACTAATGCATATGTCCTAAATTTCTATTTAGTACAAGGATCTATGTCTTTGAATAAAGCTTGAAGATCATAGTCCTGCATATCACCACTTAAACTAAAATTTCGTGAAATGCATCATATTGGAGAAATAAATCGCATCGTCATAGGTATGGAAAGTACCAAGAAAAGTGTAAGACTTAAGTTTATATATATCATGAATGGGCAAATATATAACATGTTTGAACGAGATTGCTTCCTATGCTTGAGAACCAATTAATTTATCAATGCAAAATTTATCTAGTTCTCCCCTTTAGTTGGTGTTCACAAGTAAAATAACAAGTGAAAAATAATTAAGAAAAAATATGTGATGTCATGCTAAGTTTGCATATTTTACTCCCCCCGAGTATTTGAACTACAAACTCTCCCTTTTTGTGTTCACATGTAACATATCTAGCTTAGTCAAGAGAAAATCTCCCCAATTACTCTCATATGTACCCTAAATATTCTCCTATTTTTTTGTCACAAATGCTAATCCAATGACAATATACAATAATGCATGGTACAAAATAAAGTCACCTAACAATCATGACATAGAGCCAACCACAGTACGACACTTGTCCAATTGGATAATGTTTTTTAAAATATTGAGATCATTTATATTATGGGTATTGCAAATAAAATCAAGTTGCTAGAATTTAATTGTGCGTCATCCGATCGTGTGTTTTGTCTTGTTTTACGTGAAAATTCTGGCTGTCACAAAAATTAATGAAATTTGATTGGCTAACTTGATTTCGCGAAATGAATCCACTGGTGAGGTCTGTTTCGTTATCCGAGTTATATAAAAATTCATATTTTTTTAAATCCATATTTAAACGACTTAATTATCGTATTACCCCTTTAATTAAGATTTTAATTTTCTTGGGTTTTACAGAATGGGTACATACTTCATCATGGGAATTGTCAATTTATACCATATCAATGAATATCTTGAATTTATTCAGCAGAGTGGGCACTGTTGTGTGCTTATTTCATCTTTAATATTATTGATATGTGGATCTAATTTCTCTCTTGTTGTAGAACTAAGGAGGAGGATCTCTAGCACTCATCAGACTGCCAGCAATGTGAGTGGTGTGTTCTCAAATTATAAAAAATGAATCATTTACAAAGGGCTGTCACTTGTCAGTCTCAATTATGTATATTTAGTCAGCAGTTTTTACCTTACTGTCTTATCAAGTAACTTTTATTTCTGGCTAATTTGTAGTTGGTGGTTTCAAAAGGAGTTAAAATTGAGCGCGATGTACTTGAGGCAGAGTACTCTTTTGTAGCTGATAAATTGGGACGATTGCAAGAGAAGGTGACTTATCTTCCTCCTCCTTCCGAGAATTGTATGGTTTTTGATATGACTTCACATATTCTTTATAGTTATAACACCTTTATGCTGCATCATTTGCCATGCTGTTCTAAATGCTTCCACACTATGTTTAAAGAAATAACATGATGAAGAAGATGAGTTGACCCTGTATATGTGGCTGGATGATAAAACTCTTTCTCTGGGGATGCAAATACATAAACAGCAATAAACAAATGAATAAGATGATGTTTTGAAATCATTATTTATGACTATTTAGAAGGATAAAAAGAAAATATATTATAGAACCCAAAGGCGTTGACATATGACATGCAAATGGCATACCCTTGGCTAATGCAAGAGTAAAGCACATAGAGGAAATGCATTTGCTAATCTGTTGTGTGGGCTATACCATAGATACTAGGATCATAGATACCCGAAGAGTCCCACAAACTAAAGTCGCACAACCCGAACCAAAGTGAGTTCAAGATCTAGATCACCCAAATTCCCAGCCCCAAATTGTAACTCAAATCCCTACATGTACGTAGTAAAAGAAAGCACAAAACATGCACCTACCCAGCAATAACCAATCCCTCGAGGGCATGACCTGCTCTTTCTAGTCTCGAGAGGGGACTGATAGCTTAACTTCACAAACCAAGAAGTCCAGCATCATTGCACCACCTGTAAACAACTTTTAAAGAGCTTCCCATTTTGTAGGATACTAGTGATGAACCCTTGCTTGAAGGCGGTGTATAACACAAATAAATCATCAATTGCAAATAAAGGGAATCCATTTTTTTTTTGATAAGAAACAATTTTTATTGATACGATAAAAAATATTACATAAGGCTAAGTTGGACAAGAGATCCAACCTCAAAGAAACAAATTAGAAGGCTGTAAAAGAGAATTACATTAGACAAAAACTATGAAATATGGCTATCTATAGCTCACAAATGGCCCTCCATCCAACTGAGATACAAAATAGTGGGATACCCTCAAAATCGTTTGTGATTGAGGCCCATTAGGATGCCAAGAAAAAGATGCAGTTCCATAAACCATCAATCACCTTGCGTCGATCTTAAAAAATTTGAGCATTTCTTTCCAACCAAATAACTCATATTGTAGCAAGCATTGCACAATTCCATAGTGTGACTCCTTTATTATGATTCTCAAAGCCCTTAAAATCCTCCTCAACAAACATTGTAGAAAAGGACCAAGGAATTACCCAACTCAAATCTGTCAATAAAAACAACATATTTTATAAATTGAAAGCAATAGGATAATGTAAAAAAAGATGATAAATGCTTTCAGTATCACCATGACACATAAAACACCGCTATAGAGAGACAAATTTGAGGTCTTCTCCTTTGAAGCATATCATTAGTATCAATCTTACCATGGCCAATAGTCCATACACAAACCTTCACCTTAATTGGTACTTTAACCTTCTAAATCATCAAAGAGGGGAGAAAAACTGAACAAGAAGGATCATCAATTAGAGACTTAAAGAATGATTTATGCAAGAAACACTTGGAAGACTAAAGCCTCCATCTTTTTTTATCAAGCAATTCTTGATCTTTATGAACATAATTGAGTAAGGAAAGAAGAAAAACTAAATCAATAATTTCTCTATCATTTTAATTCCTATGAAATCCAAGATCCCAAGATAACAAATTTGAACTTGATGGATCAAAGAAATAATATACATATTGTGAACTCGAAATACCCGATAGAGATGAGGAAACAAAACTGACAAGGAAGACCCCCTAACCAAACATCCTCCTAAAAAGGAATTATCTCTCCATTTCCTACAACAAAGCTGACATTAAGAATCAAGGTAAATCCTGAGATATGGATTTCCAGGGGCATCAGAAACTTCTCCTTTCAGCCCCATTACAATTCCATCCATTAGGTTGCAAATCATATTTGCTCTTGATAACCACAAGCCATAGAGAATTTTGTTCTAAAGGAAATCTCCAAAGCCATTTCCCAACTAGAGCCACATTTCTTGCTTTCAAATTACCCATTGAAAGACCTACTTTATCCTTATATTTGGAAACCATCTTCCAATTAATCAAATAATCTTTTTTTTACTTCTCCACTCCTTTCCCACTAAAATTCCCTTATAATTTTTTTAATCTTATGAACAAACATGCTTGACATTTTAAAAAGAGACAAGTATATGGGAACTAGACAAAATTGATTGGCCCAAAGTCAATCTACCTCCTTTGGAAATAAAAGCTCTCTTCTACCCATATAATCTCTTCCTTGCATTTTCAATGACAAGGTCCCAAAAAGTCAAGGATAATGGATTCTCAGCCAAAGAAAGACCAAGATACTTAAGGGGCTATTCTCCCACTAAGCACCCTAAAATATTGGCCAACCTATTATCCTTCTCTGGAATGCAATTTATACCCACAAGTGCACTCTTTCCTAAGTTTACGTTCAAACCTGAAACAATTTCAAACACATCTACAAGTGTTTTGAAATTAAAAATTTTTTTTTCTCTCTCGAAGAAAAGAAGATGGTATCATCTATAAATTATAAATGTGACTCGGAAACCATCTCTCTTCCGACTACAAAACCTTCTACTAGACAATATCCTTTTGCTGTCATTATTAATCTACTCAAACATCAACCACCAAATTGAAAAGCAAAGGCGAAAGGGGTCACCTTGTCCTAACCCTCTAGAGACTTTAAATTTTCTCCACAAGTGTCTTGAACAGTGAAAAAACATTTGTTGTGGAGGGATACAGCTCGGATACGGGTGGGATACGACCACAAACATGGATCTATTTTGAAACCAAAAAAAAAAAAGGGGAAGAAAATGATATAGACCTGATATCAGTCACAATCATAGATCTCTTCCAATTCCACCAGGTATGTTGTCTTCAAATCTCTCGTTGACAACTCTCTCTCTCATGCCATCAAATTAGATCTCTCTGTGGTTTGCCTTAGTTGCTAAAAAACAATGTCTTTTGCTTTTTTTTCTTTTCAGCAATGGTTTGCCCTAGTTTCTTTTTAGCCTCTATTGTCCTTTTTTGTCCTAGTTGTTAAATTACAAATAACCCTTGAAATTTTATGTTAAATTACAATCACACTTTATTAGTTGTCACCCACTACCCATTTTGGTTTAGCCCACTATCCATAACATATTAACCTACTAATCAAATTTAATATTAGCTCATTTATCCAATTATAAAATATTAATTAATTAATCAATTTTATTATTAAGGTTATTATATATATAAACATATAGTATATTATTTTAATTAGCCATATCCCCGCCGTACCCATAACCAATATTTTGGGATTTGGTTGTATCCCTATGTTTGTATTCGTGCTTCCTAGATCGTGATTGAAAAATTCATTGATTGCAAGCACCCTCTAATCTATCTTCTCTGCCTATGCCCAAAACCTTTCATCCCCAACACATAATCAAACAAATTCTAATCCACATAATCATAAACTTTCTCAAAATCAATTTTAAACACTAAGGCCTCTTCCCCTCTAGATCTATAATCCTCCACAATCTCATTAGCTACAAGAGCAACATTTAAGATTTGTCTTCCAGTAACGAATGCACCCTGATTAACAAAAATGGTCTCATAAAAAATCTTCCTTAATTTCATAGATAACACTTTTGCAACTATCTTATAAAGACTTGACACTAGACTAATCGGCCAGAAATCTTTAATTTTCAAGGATCTTTTTTTTTTTTTTGGGTATGAAACAAATGAATGTAGCATTGGTAATTACATTAACCACACTATTATAAAAAAATTCTGCGAACACTTTCATCAAGTCCTTTTTAATGACTTCCCAACAATCATGATAAATAGTCATAGTAATGTTGGGATTTAACACGATTTAAATCCACTAACAAACACACACAATTGAAGAACAAATCAAGAATATAAAGCAATAAGAAACAAGAAAGAACAAGACACAAATTTTACGTGGTTCGGCAATTTGCCTACGTCCACGAAGTTGCAGGGATTTCACTATTGAGAGAGTTGAATACAGAGAGCGGCTGTACAATCCACACATTAACCCTAATCACCAAAACAACAGGGTTTATATGTCCTATGTACTGGGTTGTATAACGGGCCCAAAAATTTTTCCTCGGAGACGTTGCCCCCGAACCCCCACGAGACTTGTCCATGAGCGCTACGGCTTGGGCCTATCGGCCCAAACCTTCGCTCCATGGACTAAGCCTCAGAAAATTTTCCATTAAAAACCACACAACATTACTTCGAGTCGGGTTATCATCCGGATCACATATACAAACTAGACTCCATAAAAAAAACCAACAAGTAAAACCATCCGTTACAGGGGCCTTATCCCTACTTCATTCAAAAACCGCCTTTCTAACCTATGTCTTTTCAAATGACTTTTCCAACCAAATTACTTACTCATCATCAATGGGACACCAATCCAAACCTTCCAATGTAGGCCTAGAACAATCTTGAGATGAATATAAATTGGGATAGAAATGAATAATTTCATCCTCAATCCTTCCTTCCTCTTCAATTATTTCTCCACTCTCCAACTCTTAATTTATGAATGAATTTCCTTTTTCATCCTTCCATTTGTCACTCTATGAAAATGTTTGGAATTTTTATCACATTCCTTTATTTATTTAACTCTTGATTTTTGTCTCCAACTTATGTCCTCTTTGAAAATCACATCCTCAAATTTATTTCTTAATTCCCATCTCGTAATCCTCATATTCTCGCTCAAACTCCCACATTCCTCAAAACTATCAATTTCTGCTAGTTTTTTCGGGATTAAACTCTTAATAACCCGAATATCCCTAAAAACCTCTTTGTTCCATGTCTTTATCTTTTGTTTTACAAAATCTAATTTTTTCATAAACTTATATCCTTCCCATCCATGAAAATTACCATCAATCCACCATTCTTTAAATTGGCCTCAAAAATATGATGGTCCAACTACATGTTCTCAAACCTAAAAGGACATAGACCCCATCTAATAGAGCATGTATCAAGGACAATGAGACAATGATCCGAAACCACCCTAGGTAAAGCCTTGTGTCTAACACCCATATAACACTCCCCCCATCGAAAAAAGAAACATATCTAATCTATTACGAACTGGATTTTCTCTAAGACGGGACCAAGTAAATGAACAATTAGACAACAAAGGATTTTTAAGTTAGACTCCTTAATAAAAAGATCAAAGTCTCTCATACTCTCTGTCATTCTCCCTTCACACATCATTTCAGACGGATATCTAACCACATTAAAACCACCTCCGAAATACTGAGACTGAACAATCCTACCAATTCTTTTCATAAAAGCTTTCTCTCCCTAGGGCAATTAGGACCATATACTCCAGTTAGCCACCAATCACTACCATTCCCAACTTTTAGCTTAAATGATAATGTAAACTTTCCCTCAATCGACTCCTTTATATTCATTGTCCTCTCATCCCACATAACAACAATACCCCCAGATCTCCTAACAGGAGGTAGGGAAACCCAATTGATGAAATGAGAATTCCACAAACTCTTCACTAATTTCCTTTCCATACATTTCTTAGTTTCTTGCAAAATGACCACATCCGAACTCTCTTTCAAAATCATTTCTTTAATTGTGCTTATTTTTTCCTTTGGCCCCAATCCCCTAACATTGCAACTCATTATCTTCATTTTAAACTATCTACACCCTGCTCTATCCGCCTAGAACCCCTTCCTTCATAATTAACTCCCGGTTGCAAATTCCTAAGCTCACAAGCTCCCCTTTCCTTGTCCCCTCTTATTGCCTTTCTTTTTGTTATGGACTAAAGATAGATCTATTTTTCCAAAAAATTCTTAAGAATTCTTCATTTTTTCTCATCAAGGAGAAAATACCTATCCTCTATTTCTGATTCACTTCTTTCCTTATCTCTGGAATCCGAGGGTCCCCTTTAACTCAATCAGTTGTCTTATGGTCAACAACTATAGGCTCTTAAGTACATGGTTTAGGGTCGCGGTATCGGCCATCAACTCGGAGAATTCTAACACACATTAGTCACGATGTGGAGGCACGGTATCGGGCGATACGACCTAAAAAAAAAGTTGAACATGTCGAGAGATTTTGGTTATACCGTGGCGTCGCGAAATCATATCGATCGATTCAGTGACGATTTCTCGGCAACTCAAGATCGACTTGTCTGAGTTGTACGAGACTCGAAATTTATACGTATCATGTATCAATATTATCTCGGAAGGAGCCGAGTCGGATACTATTTAGCCAACTTGTATCAGTATTGGCTGATACTTTAACCATGCCAGATTAACAAAATTACCAATGGAAATCTGGTTCCCAATACCCAAACACTTCCCTACACCAATATTTTGTTCCGCAAACAAACTAGAAACAGAAAGATCTCCCCTACCCACAGAAATTCCATCACAAGAATTTACATTAGAACTCCCTTTCCCTATCCCCTAAATACATTTCCTCCCCGAAGCAATACAATCACTCAACCTCCCATCCCATGAATAGAACTCCTCACAATACCTTCATGACCCCCTTCCTTAGCAAAAGAAACAATCCCTGACCCACCCCAGACATAGAAAATGAAGAGGGAAGGATGCAATGATGTTCAGATGTAAAAGGTGTATTAGACACAAGTGCTATAGCAAGACTTAGTGCAGGATGCCTCTCAGGAGAAAAACCATTTATCTTTGCCCTTATCTTGATAAGACTCATAGCACTGGTCTCTTTCTTTTTCCATAAACATGCTTGCGATTTCAAGGTCTCCCTAAATCATTATTAGTCATTCCTCAGCCGATGTGCTATCATTATCAAAGCTATCCCCAGAGCAATTGCTAATTACACCCCCTTCCATCGGAGCTCTGAATAATGTTACAAACATAAAAAAAAATAGCCCCATCATCTAGCATTCCAGCCTCTTTGGTCATTTCACATGGAACATTGATGTCATCCCCGAAATCCTCTATTATTGTTACAAACTCTTCGTCTTCTACAATACTAGCCTTGGATTGTCAATTTCCGTCATTGCAATAGAACTCCTTAGGTCTTGACTCAGATACTTGAAACCCTTTCTCTCTTACTCTTTCATCTTCTGCATGATGAAGAGAAACCTTTCCAGTAATTGGTTTCTTTAAAGGGATTTTGTTTGGGAATGGATCACAAATTGGAGGCAGGGCACACTAAATAAAATGTGGCTGCTATTTTTTGCTCTGAAATGGTCCACCCAGATAGGCATTTTAAAGTCCACGTTAACAGGAGACACTATGGCATTTGAAGACCCACAACACTCTAGTCCATTGCACGTTGGTCTACTATTCTCCGCCTGCTTTGATGGGGCAGCTGTAGCACCATGGGCTGTCAAGGCCAGAATCTTATCCTTAGCATAATTAGCACCACAATCCTTATTGGGACCATAATCCTTAGCATAATTAGCTGTCAAAGCTCCCTTATTGGGACTAATCAAATTTTCAATATTTGAAATAGTCTTAATGGAAAGGTTATCAGTCAAAAACACCGCCATTAATTGCCTCATTATAATTTGGCCCAATTTCCGGGATTTTTTCCTTCCCCTTAATTCCAGCTTTGTGAATCCATTGTTTTGGTGCATGATTCGTTGGTGCATCTCTGCCACGTAACCTATTGTAGTCAACCCTCTTATTTTCAACCTCACGATGGGTATTCCAAACTTTTGTGCTACCCGATCGATTTTGCCAACTCCGATGAGCACTAAAGACGTCATAGAGGTTAGATAACACCTTGATACTGATTAGAAAAGATTTCCCATTGAATTCCATTTTCAAGAGTGCTGGAATAATACCATTCACAGTTCTTCCGACTTTAATTCTTGCCTGAAAAAGATTCGTCACATTTTTCGTCATAGGAGCATCTTCGATGAAACCACCACAAAATTTAGCTATAATTCTGAATGCAATTTCTAACCACAAATGAAATGACAGCCCCTCAATTCCAATCCAACCACCCAAAAAAGAAACCTTAGTTCTTCCAATATTTGCATTAGGAGACCACTTATTAAGCCTAACCCTTATTGAATCTTCCAAGAGATGCAGTTCAGCTTTGCAAATTCTCTCAACCTTTGCAATGTTGTTACAGAAAAAAAATTGCCTTATCAACTTCGAAAGGATTCAAAGAGACCATGAATTTCAAGGATCGTGACAAAGCATCCTTAGTTCTCTTCCATGGAATGAAAATGCTATCCGTTATACATATGACAACATTGTTCCAATTCCCATAATCAGCATAATCAGTTCCATTAGGTTTGTTCATAATGCCCCCCTTCGTATATTCATTCCTTTCCCCAATACCATTACCACCCCCTTTCACTATACTATTAATCATATCATAAATATTTTTCCATTCATTCTAATCGATTCTTGTGGAATAATAATAAATCTCCTTTGACTGGATTTTTGCCCTTTGGACACAGTAAGAAAAGTTCCTTTTGCATTCCTATTCATTTCAACTATGGTTCAAGGTCGTGGTATCGGTTATCGACTCGGAGGACACTAATACACATTGGTCGAAGCGTTGCGGCACGATATCGGGCGATATGCAAAAAATGCTGGATAGAAGGCCCAAAAAATATTAAAAATATGATGAAAGTTTTGATAAATATAAGCAACTACATCTATGAATAGTGAAATCAAAGATAAGAGTACTACCTGAAATATTTATCATTAACAGTTTAATGTAAGTATCTAAATATAAATCTAATGTATTTTTAACATTTAAATTTGCATATTTTGAAAATTAAAATATTTAAAAAGAATTTTAGATTTAAAAAGATTTAGAAATATATTTTTATTTAAAAGAATGTTTCAATTTGAAAAGATTTAATTAGGAAGTGTAGTTGTATAACAATTTTTATTTTTGGTCAAAAACGAGTATTTATGTATTAGTTAAGTAGAGTTGTATTGTGTATATAAGAATTGGTTTAGAATAGTACTACATGGTCCAACACTTTTTTTAAGTAGAATTTGATGGGACATTTCCAGAACGCAACAAATGGTGACACGTGTCATCGGCATCCTTAGCCCTCCCGCTGAGGGGAATAATTCCCCGGGGGTGCCGGGGGACTCCGAGGCGGCATGGATGACACATACCCCTCGGCTCAGATTGATGATATCGGTCCCGATGTGTGTATGCTCTCTCGGCGCCGAGGTGTAGCTATTGGAATGTGGACTTTTCCACTCCTACAAGGACTGGTGATTAACAGGTGACTAGCATAGGCTAGGCTAGCCATCATAATAGCGTTTTACTCAATGGTGTTAGGAGGCACAAGAATGCAGAAGATTCAACCAAGGAGGAATGGACATGTGGCATGCGGTGTCAGATTAAAGACAAAAGGACCAAAATGCCCCTGCTGACATATGACTTGAGCAAATAGACATTTAATGTATCCCCTTCCTGATGAGACATCATTTAAGGCATGGGGGCCGTGAAGTGAAAGACATTAAATGTTCCCATGCCTGGGTATTTAACACTCTCTCGCCGAGGGGAGGGCATTGAATGCTCAACAGACAGAGGGGAAAACATCAATTGCTCGGCGTCCTGAGCAGTTAATGCTGAATGCATTCCTCACTAAAGGAAAGGGGGCACATTGCCCCATCTTTAATGATTGCCTACTAGCTATATTATCAGCAATAATGAGCTTTTGAAGGTATAAATAGTCCTCAAAAATATATTGCAAAGGTACGCAAAAACTTCTGAAAAGAACCATAGTGCTTTTTTCCTCCCCTCTTTCAAAGAACTGATTTGATCGTCAGAGGGGATACGCCAGAGAGCACTCCGGCGCTCTTCTAACCTGTTTTTCTAGGTTACAGGATTCCCCCCCAGTCTTCCAGGACCGGTCATGTGACCCAACAAACAATTCATCACTAGTCCTTAGGGCCCCTTTGTCACTCTCAACCTACTTCTTGTTGCTAAAACCCACTTTCGGATGGGTCGAAACTCTATCAGAGGCAATCAGAGATTCTGAAAGCGAACCTTCCATTTTGCCGGAATTACTGTCTTGTCAAACCACAGTTCATTGTGGGAGAGATTTGTTCCTATTTCTACTATTGTGCGAAAATCAACGCGCACAATCTGGCGCCATCTGTGAGAAACGATTAATTTTTTCAAAGAATAGTGACCATGGTGAATATTCGACAGAAAGGGAAGGGTCCCCAGCAGAAGAACCTCGATTTGTAAGCTCCTTCTAGTTCTGGAATGAAGGATCAAGTTAATGGTGTAGACAGGAATATCTCCATTCAATCGAGGGGGCATACCTGCCAAACCAGTATGGGCATCAGATCAGGAGGATTTGCCCCATTGGCCCGTCAACTGGCGGAAATGATCGAGGAGAAGTTTGGGGGTCGTTTAAGGCAGTTAGAAGAGGACAACGTGAACGTTCTCAGCCGTCTCAATGAATTTGCAGCTTCCGGCAAAGGATCTAGGGACTCGTTCCGTTCCCGTGAACACTCCGTCAGGGAAGTGGAAATCGAGGACCTGAGGAATCACTTGAACAACAAAGCTGAAAGTTTCAAGGCCCCAAAGCATCCAAGAGCCAAGGAGCACCCCCTGCATGGTCATGCCAAGAAGGTAAAGCCTTTGGCTTGGGATGACCTCTGCCGGGGACTGTCCAGGCTAGGGGACGTGGAGGAATCCGAGGAGGACTCAACCTTCTCCACTCGACACCCAGGAAGGGGGCACCCCATCAACCAGCACGGAGACCTTGGAGGGTCTCCCCCTAAGTTGGAAACTGACCTCAGAGCTCAGCTTGATTCCAGAAGGAGTAAGGCTGTCCAGGACGACGCAGATGATGAAACCATACAATCTCCTTTTACCAGGGATATCCGGGAGATGAAGGTAACAAAAAAGTTTACGGTGCCAAGGTTCAAAACATATGACAGACGATCTGATCCCGAAGTTCACCTCAGATAATACAAACAAATGATATCCTGTAACACTCGGACCAACGGCTTCTATGTCGGGTGTTCTCCATGAGTTTGGGAGACTCCGCTATGAAGTGGTTCGAGATTCTCCCTCCCAACAGCATTGGGTCATGGAAGGAGTTAACCAGGCAGTTCTCGGCCCGGTTTATTACAGGGAGTAAGCGGCCCAAAGATATTGGATCCTTGCTAACACTCAGACGGAAGGAAGGGGAAACCCTCCGCTAGTATGCCATCGGTTACTGGGAAGAGGTCAATGAGGTGGAGCGATGTTCGGAAGTCATGGCAGCCACATCTTTTAGGCTCGGCCTAGCAAGAGATACGGATTTGTACCGGTCCTTGACTAAGAAGACCCCCCCAGACATGGGCGAATTGATGGCCTGGATAAACAAGTACTCCATGATTGAAGACTAGATGGGCGGAGGTAAAGACAAAACCGTCACCTCCAAGAAGAAAGACAAGGAAAAAGAGGACACCTCTCGAAAGGGATTGGTACCCCCCTTTGGAAGTTCTTTTAAAGGGATCCACATCGTGTTTGAAGAGCCTATTTACAAATTCCTCCCTAAGATCAGGGATGAGCCGTTCTTCAGGTGGTCGCCTAAGATGCAGGGTGATCCGTCCACCGGGGACCAGAAGGCTAGATGTTCCTATCACCGAAACTTTGGCTATCGTACCGAAAATTACAGTGTACAAATCTTTCCTGGAGAGGTTGGTCTAGGACGGACATCTGAAAAGGTACATTGAGCCAAAATCAGAAGAGGGTCATGTCTCTACTCCGGCTGCTGTGCAAGACAATGTCATAGACGTGATCAACGTGTGCCCACTGGAGCGTTCGACGTCCAGGGAACTTGAGTCCGACCTCAAAAGGGTAGCATTCATGAGAAAGGTGGCCGAAGGAGATGGGGGCCAGCCCAACAAGAGGGCTCGAATTGGCGAGCCAAACATCACATTTTTTGATGCAGATCTAGCAGGCGTCGTCGCCCCCATAACAACGCCCTGATCTTAACGCTGAAGATTGACAAATTTGATGTTAAGAGAGTGCTGGTGGATTCCGGGAGTTCTTCTAAAGTAATGTACTCCGAGACCTTGAAGCGTATGGGGCTCGGCCCTAAGGACCTCGCCAAGGTTAGGACGTCCCTTGTCGGATTTAACGGCTCGTTTGCCCTGGCCATAGGTAAATTTACGTTGCCAGTCATCACGGGGCTTTTTACCATCGACACAGAGTTTGTTGTGATCGATACAGATTCACCTTACAACGTAATCATAGGGCGAGCTTGGTTACACGCGCTAGGGGCGGTGCATTCCACTTACCACCAGAAGTTGAAATTCCCCACCCCAGAGGGGGTGATGGAGATCCGAGGGGACCAAGCGTCCACAAAGAACTATTTTTACTCAGTTGTTAGAGCGGGGGTTTTCACCCAAGAGAAGGGGCGTGCCCCGGAGGAGATCCTGAAAAATAGCAATCACAGTCCGGGCATCCAGGAGTGGACGACCCCCAGACAGATCCGGCGGATGTGGAAGACCTCCGAAAGTGTTCTTGGTAGATGGTGAAGAGGAAAGAGACTTCTTAATTGGCTCTGCAATGCCTGCAGCCAAACAGGAAGAGATGATTGATTTTCTAAGACAAAATGCAGACGTATTTGCTTGGAATGCGATGGAAATGAAGGGGGTGGACCCTGAAGTAATAACCCATAAGCTTCACGTTGATCCAGCCCACAAGCTAATAAAGTAGAAGCCACGGTGCATGGCGCCACATCACGCCTAGGTGGTAAACGAGGAGGTTGATAAACTC